AAAAAAAAAAAAAAAAGAAAAAAAAAAAAGAAAAAGTTCCGTGTTGATCGCGGATGACGTCACTGCAGGGAAACGTGTTAAGGGAGTATAAGGAGAGCATTTATATTAACGATTATTGCTGTATTATTATTCAACATACTTTAACCGGTCGAATGAAAGAATGGTAAAGAAAGAAAGAAAGAAAAAAAAAAAAAAATCTATATCTCGTGCTCGTACTTCCCTTTTACGTGGGCGCAGCAAATTAAGTAGAATGAAAATGTATTATGACAGCCGCCGAAGTAGAGAAGCTCGCGATATCTCCTTATCTTGCGATTTAATTTTTACAAATTATACCTTCTACCGTATGATAATAACATTTCCTCCTTTATTCGAGAACACTTATAATTTAATAATAATTTTTATCAATGATAAGAACATCTATTTATCTCTACACCCGATATACTTTAATGAATACTCACAGTTGGCGATATGAATTATTTTACACGATAAATTATAAATTATTGCTGAAAAATTTTCTGAAACTTCATTATTCAAATTTCTACTTTATTTTTACAAAATTACCTTGTCTTAAACATCGATAATACAATCTACGAATATACCAAACGCATTATTAAAATTTCAATTTTTTACCAAGGTATTAACGATAAAACGATACACGATTCGTTATAATATATACAACGTACGAACAATTCGGAAACGAAACGAGATTCAAGCGTCGAAAACGTAAGGAAATCGCGGAAACTTCTGCGACACTCGATCGATCGGATGGAGCCGCGTGGGCAAAAATCGAACGTCCGCATTGGCAAATAACATCCGGCCAGATAAATCCACACCCTTTCAATAATGCCGGTATTCATAACATTTAGAGTGCACGGATTATTGCATTATTGGCATCGCTCGATCGGGATAAACGGTTCGAGAGAACCGCTCGAGTGTGTCAAAGCGATTCCACGTATATACATACACGCACATACACACACACATATATATATATGCTCTCGCCATTTATATCGAAAGTCGCACGATATCCGCAATTGTCCGGCGTGCGCAATTTTCCCTCGTCCCATTGTCGTCTCGGTTTCAACGTCACGAATACTTAGTCACCCGTGCCTCGTCACGGAAACGTTCCACCGGCGCATCCGGTTTTTAACAGCGAAATGCAACGGATGAGACGACAACGACGTCAACGACGACGACGTTGACGACGAGACTCGCATTAGGCTCGTTGTCGTCCACGAAATAGCCCCTATTGAACGGAACATATATAGAGCACGATTCTAAAGAAATAGCCCCTATAGAACATGATTCTAAACGCGCGGAAGTTTAACGTTTCCTCCACAATGGTAGTGTGCAATGGGCAAACACGCGCAAGAGGATGCAACCGATTAAACGTCCTCTTGCTCGTTGTTACCGGTCTCGAAACAATGTATTCGTACGAAATCGAGTGAAGCAAGTTGCTCAAGGGAAGAGGGGATAAAGTTTCATCGAAAACTCGCTCGAGAGGAGGAACGAAAAGATGCTTAAAGGAGGATCGCGAGGGGACCTTGAGGACGAAAATACCGTGGCTGTCGACCGAGTATATCGCGTATATTGTCTCCTCGAGTGGAGGGAAAGATATAAGCGGGATTCCTCGATCCATCTTTTCCAAGTCTGTTTGGAAAACAGAAGAATTCGTAAGAGTTATTCTAATAGATTTATTTTTAATCGATGATTCCTCGCTATTCAAGAGAAACTCGAGACGAGTATTGATCTAGACATTTTTTTCCCCCCTCCAAAAATGTGTGCTTCATGGAAAAATTCCAGTTTGAATGACGCGTCTCGAAATCGTGTGAATTCGATGATCGATCAATGACCGCTTCTATCCGATTTGTATCCCGCTTATTCCGAGATAGCCGATATCCTTTTAACTGCATCTCGGCCAATCGTTTCACGCTCGATGAATCGATTTGCCAACGCGTTTCCGTTCAGACGACGCGAATTGGATTGGCAATCAGTGCGCACCCGATCGGTATATCGCGTGCAGACAAATCACGAAGTTCATCCTTTCGTCAAAGAAGAAAGGATTCTTGGACGAAAGTAGAATATCGAACGCGTTTCCTTTTCTCTGAAATCT